ATAGTGGCTTGGCAAGCTCCTCCACCAGCTCCCTCAGCACTCTTGGGTGGGTGGATCCCGAGATATAAGAACATGAAATTATTCAAAGGCTCAAAGCAAAATGATAAAAAGGTAACACTGCTAGCTTCGTACATACGGGATATTTGAAAGTATTAGTACATTCAACTTACATCCACTGCAAGGCTGCTCTGTCCCACCAGGTTAGTGTATGAGAGAAATTTTTTAGGATAGATTATCATTCATATCACATCTTGCTTTAGATTGAAATTAACAGAGTATCTATACTGTCCATCATGTCTTTAGTCCCAAGATCTGTTGGGGTTCCATGCCTTGTTATTGTAGTCCCCTTGTTCAATATCTGAATAGTTAAACTGATTCAGAAATAGCCACTCCATCTCTTGGCAGCATCTGATACAAACACTCCAATGGTCAGCAGGCGTGGTGTCCCGCTGTGCTATTCAACCTTCCTGTTACTCCTGAAGTCACCAAGGATAAGCTGTGTTCGTGATCTCTTCCCCTCAAGACAGGGTTTCACTCTGCTACCCTGGCCATGTAGATGATGACTGATGGTGCCCCGGGGACCAGTCATGAAGGAGGTGCTGTGTGCATGTGAGAGAGGTGCCACAAACCACCCTCCCCATGGAGGCACAGGGGCCGGGGCATCCCTGATTTTGGATTGCGTTTGCGCAGCAGACTGAGTGGGCTATGAACCCAGGTACCTGGTCAATCTTGAAATGTTAATGTGTTCTTACAATGACCCTTCTCATTACTCATATGCATATCTCATTTTATGGGAAAGGAACAGGTTTTTTTCTTTTTCAGAGGTAGCTTGAAATTTTTGGTCCCATAGCTGTTGAACGTAAGGTGGATTACAGCTTAAGCCAACAAAAGCAATTAGAAGCTGTTTTTATTTCCCTCTGTTTCTTCCCTAACTTTATTCTGACCCTCCCTTTGGGGTCATTTATTTCTCACATTAGTTAGTAGTTTCTCCCGTTTGGGGATTTGGTAGTTTTAGTGAAACATCTAAAGGAGAGGACCAAGCAAACTCTCTCCTTTTTTGGCTAAGAATGTTTGTTCTGCTAATATCTGAATATAAAAACAATCTAATACTTGGGGCAAAAGCAGGGGACATCCTCAGGGGACTTTTCAAAGAGTTTATCTGCTCCTAGGCCTGTTTGAACTTTTCAGGGGAGACTGTTTAAATCTCAAGATTTTCACTTCACATGGCTGGGTTTTTTTTGGTAGAATTATCTCAAGATACAGTTTTTACCAAGAGGAATGGATGTATGAGACTAACACAAGAATGTGGCTATTTTCCTTGCTCTGTGGCTTCTTTCTTTCTGTCTATTTTCTTCGTTCTGTGAATTAGTTTTCTTCCCTCCCTCCCTTCCTTCTTTTTCTTTCTTTTCTTTCTCTTTCCTTCTCTTTTTTCTCACCTTCTTTTTTATCTTGCTCTCTTTCTTTCTTCTTTTTCATTGTCCCTTTCTGTCTTTCTTGCTTTCTTGTTTTCTCATATTAAAAAATATAAGACAAATTTACAAACCGACTTACAGTATTTTAGATGGCATTTGGTGGCACAGTTCTAAATTTGAGATTTTTCCTTCTTCAGATCTTATCATCCCTAAATAGATTTCCTACTCACTTCGTGTTTGTTTGTTTAAACTATGTCTCTTGGTATTGTAGCAGCCCAGGACAACTTTCCATTTACTGCCATTCAGCTCCCACAAGAGTTAACTCCCAGGCTTTCAGCTAGATGACTTGTCAGTTACTGAGTGATGCCATTTGAAGCACAGCCTCAGATGATGCGCCTGGGGCCCTTTGCTCGGCATGCCTCAGACATCTGGAGCAATGGGAGAACTGCACACTTCTTTTTGAGGGAGTCATGGTCAGAGTCACTATTTGCTCCCCCTCCTTACCAAAGGCAAATGGTTGGAGAAGGTAACCTTCAGCTTCTTCAAGGAAGTTCTTCAACAGCTTCAGGGAAATCTGAACAGACCATGGATGTACCTGGAAGGAGAGGACTCTTCCCATTCTCATCTCTGAATGCTCTCACGTGGGAATGACCTCAGTAAGTCCAGAACTTTTTCCTCTTCTTTTTACTCTCCAGACAGAAATACCCCATTTATACAGAGATATGAATGAAGAACTTGCTTGAGTCTTTTCATACTGTTCTTTTTTTCCTTTCCTATTTGTTTTAACACTTGAAGTAGATAGCTTCTCCTCTGCATTTCTCCTGTGAAGCTCTACTACGCTTCCAGCAGAACACTGTTTGAGCACCTTCCCTCTGCAGTTTTTGCAGAACACCGCTTTTGGGAGGCTTGCCACTCATTCTGGTCACTGCATTTACTTGTTGCGATCACACTCACTTCTCTACCACATTTCCAGCTATGTTGTTTGTTCTATGATTCCCTCCAACTGAGTCTCAGACGGTGGCACGGTAAACATCCAGGTGGGATCATCGTTAACATTTTTGTGCAGGTTTAAATGCCAGCAAGCCCTGAGGCTTCCTAGGTTGTTTACTGAATGCTCTTTTTTAGACTGTGATGTTGTGTCTTAAGAAGCTGTTTTGAACCCAGGAAACCCAGGGCTCATGAGAGAAAATTTATGAGTGGGGTAAACGGCTCTGTTTAAATAATCATTGCGAAAGTTAGCCCCAGTAAAACTTCTTTACTTTGCATTTGATGTTCTTAACTGCTTGAGGAGAAGGGTAAATTCCCATTATGGCATGTTAGTGAACAAGGCTGCTTATATGGATGAACCAAGTCAGCTGGGCAAGCTTATTGCCAACAGTTAGTCCCTGTTAACATCAGTAAATCAGCAAGGGTCCCGAATGTGACTCTGTATCATCACAGGGGCAGCCAGGAAATTAACAGGGAAGGGGGCATGAAATATACATATGAAAATCAGCTGAAGCCAATGCTGCTAATTCTCTGTTATGAGATAAAAGAAGACATACAAAAGGAGAACTTTTTCCATAACTCAGCAAAACAACCTTTATAACCATTATAACAATGACAGGGAACCTGAACAGCTACTTCTCCTTGTGATGGGTTGGATTTGTAATGTTTGCAGGATATTGCAGTTGTGCTAAGTGTTCAGAGTGTGTAAACATGGTTAACTTACGTTCTGCGATGATAAATGGCACTTAAAGCTGGTCAAAAATTACCGTCTCAAAACAGTAGCATTTTGCTTTCCCTCCACCTCTGTACTCGGAGGGAATAGAATGCTGAGTAACTACATATTATTTTTACTTACTTGATTAAAGCCCTTCCTGGAACAGAGATGTTGGTATCAATTTTTTTAAAAACAAAAAACTTATGAGCCAAATTCACTTGAAATACATATGCTTAACTTAAAACTAATATCATTAGCTTCAACGGGAGCTGAATAGACCTGTCTGGGAACAATCCAGGGCTCTAACAAGAACCACCAATGCTATCTGTGACCACTGTATCACAAAACTTTGCGATGCGATGGAGAGTTGCTTGTCAAAGAGCTCTTTGAGGGTGTCTCTTTAGCTGCGGTTCAGCACTCATATGCTGAACCCCATAGAGAAGAAAGCTCAGGATTTCTGCTAGCATGATGGGCTTAGCAATCTTTAACGTTGCCAGGAGTAGTTCCAGCTGGGTTTCACCTAGCATCAGTATATCAAAGCTGGTTTTCCTTTTGCTAAGGCTTTCAGATATTACCAGAAAATGAGGGTCCACAAAACAGAAGGAAAAAGGGGCGGGGAGGAGCACACAATGCTCACAGTATATTTTTATACATATTTACAGAAGGAAGAGCTGTGCTATCCAAACTTGAGCTTTCCCCATGGATGAGTCAAACATAACGTTTCATCCCAGCGAAGGCACAGAGAACATCTCAATGCACAGAAACATTTCTACACAGGAAAGGGTCTGGGAGATATTGACCCCACTTTGGGTAATTATGATCATCTCCTTCCTGGGTTTTTGTGAAAATGGAATTGTCCTCTGGTGCCTCTGCTTCCAGATCAAAAGAAACCCATTCACTGCGTACATCACACACCTGTCCATTGCCGACATCTCCTTACTGCTTTGTACATTTATTCTGTCAATTGAGTACATTGCTGGTTTTGGATTTGCCTACGGCTTTTACTATTATATAACCACCACACTATCTATTGTTTTCCTTCTTGGATATAATACTGGTCTCTATCTCCTGACAGCCATCAGTATTGAGAGGTGTCTGTCTATTGTTTACCCCATCTGGTACCGATGCCACCGGTCACAGCACCAATCAGCAATTGTGTGTGCAATTCTGTGGACTCTGTCTTTTCTGATGACAGTAGCTGAATACTTAACATGCAAAGATGATTCAACGAAGGAACAATTTGATGATGGCAACCATTGCCAAGCACTGCTCATCTTCACATGGATCCTGACTTTCATGATCTTCATTCCTCTAATGATTCTGTCCAGCCTGATCTTGGTTATCAGGATTCATCGTAACTCCCTGAGACCTCATTCGTCAAAGCTCTACATCATCATTGTGGCCACAGTCATTGTCTTCCTCATCTTTGCCATGCCTATGAGGCTGTTGTATCTTCTGAATTACCACCACTGGTCGTCTTTGCTCAGCCAGCAGAACCACGTCACCGTTGTTCTCTCCACCGTTAACAGTAGCATCAACCCCCTTGTTTACTTCTTCGTAGGAAGCAGCAAGAAGAAGAGGTTCAAAGAAAGCCTCAAAGTGGTTCTTAGTAGAGCACTTGCTGATGGGTTGCGGCCGAGAAGCCAGGAAGTTGGCATGAGTTTGGATATAGCTGAAACAATTTTCTAAAGCTCAGGGGGGAAACTCTAGGGGCAAATAATTGGACTTGGAAGGTTTAATAAACCACTGCGAAACTAAAAGTATTTTTCTTCCACAGAATGTAAAAGCAGTGGTGAAATGGTACTGTTATCTTTGGTGGTTGAGCAATGGAAAAATATGGACTAGAATAAAGATAACTTTTATTTGTATTTTCTTAATTATTCAAACACATGCTACATCCTGATGTGACTATGTCAGTCAAAGATACCGCAGTGGAAAAGAGACAGGCCAACAGAGAATATAAAAAAAGGACACAGAAATATGTTATAAATAGTGTGACATTTATACAAGCACTGAACACCCATAAATGCTATTGAAGTCATCAGGGCCTGTGTGTATTCGCATTTTTAAAAGTCAAACCCACTAAACGCAGGATTCACGTTACATACTGGGATTTAGTTTAAACTGTTTCCAGCTTGTTTAAGTGCGCAAAAGAGCTGGTCCCCGGGGGGAACAGAGGAAGAAATCCACGTACGAGTAAGTCCCCATACATACCCACAAACATACAGTGTAGCTTTGGTCTAGCAAGACATTTAGGTATACACTAAACGGTCAAGTTCCTCTGTGGTTAAGGGGCTACTTCAGAGCCTCTTTTCAAAGTATATGTTGCGTAATTTCCAGTGACATCAACATTTCTCTGGGTCCTTGGATAATTCAGTACCTGACACACAGGAGTAGCTGGCAACATCGGGATGTTGTCAACTCACAGAGGGCTTCTGCCCTAATTATTAAGGGTGGGGCTGGCTTATCCCCAAAATGTCAGTGTTCCTGTAGGTTTAGTTATTCAAGGAGTCTATGAGAAAGTCAGTCCCAACACTTGCTGTCCCAGCCACGTATTCAGTACTTAGCTGTTCTCTGGAGAATATATATTCCCCGTGTGGTCTCTCTGTTTTATAACAATAGGTTTTGGATGAACAGAAAAAAAGCAAGATGCCTCACACAATGCATGACTGGGGCTACACCCCAGCCACACCGTCCCAGCTGACTGCCTCCTTCTGTTGTACGCCAGGGTACTGAGGCTGATATTTTGTGGAGTTTAATTCCCAGGGCCACTTGCCCAACTATAGTCAAGCTGCAGAGCAGAGAGGAAGACAACAGCAAGGAGGGGACGGGGCTAGGTCAGGTTTATCAGACAGACATAGAATATGGGGGGTCTGGGCAGTCAGAAAGCTGTGTCACTTTCAAAGAGCCGTCTGGGAGATGCATTTGCTTCTGGCCCCCATGGAGCTCCAAATTCAGCAGGAACTGAGACCTCCTGCCACAGGCAGAAGCAGCATCTTCAGCTTCCCGCCAAGTTTCCATTGGCACACTTAATAGCTAACTGGGGAAAGAAAAATACAACCTACCCCTCCTTTGTTGAAAGACTGCCAGTCCTGGAATAAGGAAGATGGTAGGTTAAGACTGAGGATTGGATGGGAATTCACATAGAGAAGAGATCTCAGAAGGACAAATATTCCTTGTACGTATGTGCCCTTTTCTCCTTACATTAAAGTGTTGCAGTGTGCCACTGCAGAAAAGACTCAGGAAAAGGAAGAGGTCACCCTTACATCTTCCTAATTCCCTCACTCCGTCAAAACCTTTATCTATGACAGCCCCTCTATTTGTCCCAGTTTTTCTCTTTGAAACTCTAGTCCCAGGCCAGTCACCTCTATTGATTCAGGTGGTAGATGAGTGCAGTCTGCTCCTCTCTTTGGGCAGTGATCTACTGTACCGCTGGAGTGAAAAATCAGCAGAGCAGCTTTCCATTGCTGATGGTGAGTGCAGGATATGGCAAGCACTCAGGGTCAGGGGGAACGAGCGTGTGGAATGTCCACATACATGTGGCACATGTGTGCATGCACCTGCTGGGTGCTGGGGGACTGCTGGGGAATTTCTCAACACTGATAAATGCCATAAACTTCAATACTAGGGGAGATCTAGTCCAGAAAAAAACCCCAGACTCTTCTCTAAAGCCATTCCCTACCCATACCTCAAGACCCTTTACAATAATCACATGGAGAACCAGAGAGAGGAGCAAATCTGCAAGAAGCATGTTCAAAACATGCTTCCACTGTAACCCCACATGTAATGCAGCTCTCTCAAAGTGATTCAGGTGAGACAAGGCATATTATTTACAGTGCTTAAACAAACCCAGATTATTATGACAGTTCTGGGTTAAGGATCACTATGCATGCAGCCAGGGCAGTAGATCTGAAGAGGCAATAATATGCAGCAGGGCAATCTGAGTGCTTGTGAGCTGAATAGGTGCTCTAGGACTTTTAGCTTCTTACCCCTTTCCACCTGTGTCTGGCCATACCCTCAAATGTTTCAGCATTTGGACAACTGTCCATAGATCAGTTCACAGAGCAGACAAAATTAACATTCATCATGAGATGAACATCCAGAAGGATCAGTAAGAGTGAACAGCTAGTAGTTGAAAAATGATTAAAGTTTCCCAGTCCACAGATAAAAATATCTTAGGGATGTTCTTTCTTCTTTATCACAGCGCCTGATGGCTCTTCTCTGTGCAGACAGGCTGCAGTACAAGGGGAACTGATAAGCACATTATTCCATGATTTAAAAAAAAAACAAGGAAAATGTGACACTTCATTTGTTGCACAAGAAGAATGTGATTTTCCACCACCTTGCATTTTTAAAAATTATTTGCATCTGTGGGACAGGGTGAAATAACCCTGTGCGGATCAGGTGGTGTTAATAAGCACTTTGCAGTGGTGCACAACAGGAAAGATTGCCTTGTGGGTAAAGTACTAGCCATAGAGTTTAAAGATGTGGGTTCTGTTTTAATGCAGTCTCGGCATCTAATTTTTCTGTCCCTCTCTTTCCTGCCTATAAAATGAGGATTATATTATTTTGTTTCCAGTGTTATGCCTTCACATTTACACTATAGATACTTCAGAACTGTCTCTTGGTTATCTCTTGTAATGTCCAGGGCAACAAGGACTCAATTTTGCTGTGCAGTCAAGACAAGGAATTGTTCATGGAAGAAATGCCTAGTATAGTGCTTACTTTATTAAAACTCTCTTTACCACACTTCTGTTCTACTTGATACTAATGACTGTTGTGGGGTATAAAAGTGTGGTCAAAAATGCAGAGAGGGAAGTCACCTCCCTCGGCACTGCACAGAGTTTTTTTACTGTCGTAGCTACCCCCTGGGTGGAGAGGATGACATGGGGCAGGTTGCTGTACGGGTTCAGGTCCAAAATGATGCAATGAGTTTACGCAGCAGCTTTCCTCTAAAACTCACAGACTTTGTGAATGATCCTTGTGACAGCAAGGGCAGAGGGATGAGGAAGAACATACAGCCCAGTTTACTTCTAGCCTGGAGCTTAGCCTGGGAAATCCTCTAAGGGAAGCTGAAATACTTCCCAGTTGTACTGGTTGCTGACGCAGAACAAAACCTCCCCTTGCTCCCTTTCCTAGCATGAGAACAATCTACAAGTGCACAGCATTTCCTGGTATAATGCCTCGGGTCACTTTCTGGGCAGAGGATAAGAGGGACAGTTCAATTGCAGGGTCCTCCAAAAAACCCTAGATAGATCTCCAGCAAGGTCCTAGGTACTTTCATCCTCTGGGAGCCTGTGATGCTTGGCTCTGTATGCGCCTGGGAGAGACTCCTTCCCAAGTCCTCCTGCTCTGCCAGTCTCAGGGGGAGGGTGATCCACACGCTGGGTTTTGTGAGCAGAGAGGTTCAGTACAAGGGATCGCATATGGCTCCTTGAGTTCCCTGTATCATGGATGCCTGATGAGACGGTGCCCAGAGAGACCGTTTGAATCCTTAGCTGACTTTCATCCTCTGCATTCTGCAATTCTTTCCCTGCCCTGCTTTCTTGACCTGCAAATACCCACAGCCCTTAGCCTGTTATGCTAGACTTGGGCTGTGTACTCCGGTCCTTGTGGTGGGGTGTGCACCCCTTCGGTACCCCCAGCGGGTATCAGGGTGAGACCCAGCTGAATGCCCACCTTTCCTCCCCTAGCACTGCCTGGTTTCCAGCAGAAAGGACAGCTGCTGCCTGAAGCTTTCAGTTACTCCTTTAGTTCAAGCAGTGGCATTCATGGCCTGCTGATACTGCCGTGATGACACCAGTCAGCAGAGGGTATTCTCAGATGGTACCTAGGTCAAGGGAAAGCAGAAAATTGGTGTGAGCTTGTGTGTAGCTGCCATGATATGCTGCCTGCCATGTGTGTGCTTTGCTGCTTCTCTTCCTAACTCCACATAGAAATCATTTATTAAAATCCACTACTCGGAGCTTCTAGCCACCTACGCAGCAGGAAGGCCAGTTTTGGTTTCCATTTGGTTGCCCGAGTGCTTATGTGATGTCCACATGGAATTATTTTGCTTTTCCAGTCGACTCCTACAAGCCTAGAAGATGAAGCACCAGGATCCACATTCAAAGAAAAGTATTGTAGGTGCAAAACTCTGAATTCAGAGAAGAGGTACTGAGATGAGGTAGCCTGCGTGATTCTAGTGCTTCTGCCTTGCATATAATAATGCAATTTTTAATTATATGATTACAACTTATTTTGTTTTCCAAACTGGACTCTTGCCTCATTAAATGCACAGACTGGACCTGCTGCTGGTATAGTAAATATTTCTAGAATCCTTGCTGTAGTTGTTTAGTTGTTTCAGAAATATGGAGGGTAGGAAAGGAGAGGGAGTGGACATGGCAGTGTCCATCTGGCCCCAAATCCTATCTCCAGCAGTGGTCACAAGTGAATGCCTACAGAGAAGAAACAGGGCAAACACATATCACACTTCCTTCTTGTCCTCTCCAAGCCTTCAACAGTTTTCAGCTCAGAGACTTCCTGGTCTAGAAATCTTTGTATTTGGTAACTTTCAATGGATTTCTCTTGAACAAATACATCCGACCTCCACTGGAAGCCATACAAGTTTTTTGTCTTCAGCATTCTGTTTCACAGCTTAATTAAATGTCTCCTGAAAAATATCCTCCTTTAGGTTGTTCTGAACTGCC